AGCTCGTCGTCTTCCCCTGTCCGACTGTCTGGCAAGAATGGGTTGAGGGCAAGCCACTCAGTGCGTGTTGCCTGTGCTGACAGAAGAAAGTCGGCCGCTGCAGAAAGCACCGGCAGTTTGTCCGATTGCAGCACACAACAAGTGAACACAATGGGATGTGACCTGCGCCACCGACGATAACTACAGGCATCAGGGGCAGTCACGCCATGCTGGGCGATAACTGTGTGGAGTGTGTCACGAATAGAACGATACAAGAACGACTTTTGGCGCTTCCTGTCTGATGTAAATGCTCGGCTCACTGGCAGTCTTCGCGATTGATTCGAGTGATTGAGATCCTTTGGCGATGGCAGAGGAGGAGAAGGCCCCCCCGCCGCCCTACACGCTTGAAACGGCTGAGGGGCTGCTGACCCGCTCCCGCGGCTTCACGGGCAAGGGCAAGGCCACCTACAAGCTCGACGAGGAGGTCATCGAAACCTACGAGGGCGACTTTGACGACGGCATCAGACAGGGCAAAGGTGGGTGCATGCGACAAACAAAGGAGAAGCCCCCTACCTACCAAACCCACACAAGACCTTCCCTTCTCTCTCGTCTGGCGCGTTATGTGATGTGTGATGTGCTGAATGCAATGCACTGCAGGTTCGTATGTGTACAAGAACGGCGACAAGTACATCGGTGGCTTCCACGAGAACCTCAAGCAGGGCCTGGGGCGGCTGACTTACAAGCCGCCGGCGGCCGAGGAGGAGGCCGGTGAGGAGGAGGGCGAGGAGGCCAAGCCGAAGCGAGGCGGGCGGTACTACGGCGAGTACGTGCAGGGCCTGCGCGAGGGGTCGGGCACCTTCCACTACGCCAACGGTGACGTGTATAGCGGCGACTGGAAGGAGGGCAAGAAACACGGATGGGGCAACTACACCTTCGCCAAGGACCAGGTCGGTGGATGGGATTGGGTGAAGACTGAGGTCCTCTCTAATATGTGTGTGTGTGTGTGTGTGTCGTCGTGTGTGTTCAGACCAAGTACGAGGGCACGTGGGCCAACGGCAGGTTCCAGTCGGGACGATGGATATTCCCAACCGGTAAGGTACCCACCCCACACGAGCAGCCCAGCCAACACACGACACACCTACCTACACTCAGGCATCTTCTACGTGGGCGGTTACCGGTACAACAAGCCCAACGGCGAGGGCGTCTTTGTCTTCCTCAACGGCAACCAGCTCGTCGGCGACTATACACAGACACTCGAGGCCGTCGAGGCGGAGGAGGGCAAGGAGGTGAAGGAGGAGCCAGGCGAGGGCGAGGAGGGCGTGCGAGCCGCCCCGGTCAAGGAGCCCAAGGTGCTCGGCGTGCAGTGGGTCTCTCGCGAGGCCACTGTTGTTAGAAGCGCACGGCTGAGCGCACGGTAGACACGACACAGGGATCGGTGGATGAGTGGCCGTTGCGTTGACGGCTTGATTGGCAGGGGGCAGGGGTGTGTGTGTAGGAGAGGAGAGGGGAGAGGAGAGGGGATGGGTAGGAGTGGACTGGTGTGCGAGTGGGTGTGTGGCTGCGTTGCAGACAGACACGTGTGTGCACCGACCGGCGGAGCGTATGAAGCTCTTCTTTCCCATCTGTCGTATATATCATGGGCGGCGCCCTCTTTCAAGTGAAGCAATCAGTCAGTCAACTTGCCACCCGCCGATAGGGCTGTCTGTCTGTCTGGCAGACACGAGAGAGATTGTCCAACCATCCATCCATCCATCAGAATATCGTCACACACCAAGGACAGAGAGAGCACTGCATCAAGTACGGTCAGCTACATAAGTCCGTCCCCACATGCGCATCGCGCATTACTCACTCACTCCTCAATAAAATTAAATGCCCCACACCCACTCACACACGCACACACGCACATACTCACGAATGAACGAACGCACTCACTCACAGAGAGACAGACAGACAGACCTGTATGTCAGTCACATGCTTTGTGCTACGCACGGCACACAGACATGAATCATGCACCACATGGACTAGTCGTCACACACACATCACATCCATCGTCGTACGAAGGGACGGACGGACCGCTCAAATGCGTCCGTCCATCCATCCATCCATCCATCTCATCTTGCCATTTATCTGGCTTGGCTGCAGTGGTGCAGTCAGCCATGGAGCCATCCCTCCATCTTTGCACAGGAGGTACAAAGCCCGCCCGCCCGCCCGCCCGCCACCCGGCCAAAGAAATAGCGATGACTCAGCAGCCAACAGCCCTACCTAACAAAGAGAGACAACAAACGGAACACCACACCACACCACACCACACACCGCAGATATCCCCGGATAAACCACCACAAAGAAATAATCTCTCTGTGTACCCTACGCGCGCACACGCGAGCCACAAAACCTCACATACACACACGCACACGCACGCACTCTCACTACGACACACACACGCTTTGAACCAATCAATCGTTCGCTCGGTTCACTCACTCATATGAGATGTCGACACACGCACCACACACACTCACGCCCCACACAGAGGCCCACGAGCAACAAGAAGAGACAAAAATGACAAAGTGACTGATCATCTCTCTCCTCGCTCCCCTCTCCCCTCTCCACTACCCCAGTCAGTTTGTCCCTTTGTCCCCCCCCCTCTCCTTGTTTAGAGAGACAGCGCCCTCTGCAGCCCCACTGCAACAAGCGCGGCGACCGTGTACAGAATCCTCCCCAGCAGACTGGATGTCATCTCCACACCGTAGACTCGCCACGCAGAATCTGACAACATTCGGATGATTCAGACACACACACACAGAGGGGCGGGGGAGTGGGAGTGGGAGGGAATGTCGTTTTTGCTTCCTTGGGGCTGTGCTGTGTTGTCAGTCTGTGTGCTCTCTCATGTGCTCTCTCTTACTTGAGGCGCGGAAGTACTGGACGAGCAGGAGCTGCTCCATGGCCTCATGCATTATGTCACACCCACTACTCGCGGGCTTGACCCCAGGCCGCCCAACATTATACACCCCTCCGCCCCCGCCCATCCCCATCCCGTCACACACGCCCCCCAGGCCCGCATCGCTCTCCCGCACAAAGGCCGTGTACGACAGCGCGCAGCTGTCGTCCCTCACGGGGATGTCACCCAGCACCCCGGACTCCAGATCCTCCTCCCCCGCCCTCCTGCTGCGCGACTGGATCTCGATCTTCCTGGGCTCTGCACTCTTGACCTTACGCAGTCGCCTCCACGCCCGCATCAACCGCGCGACCGACGGCCGCAAGACGAAGAAGGACCGCTTTATGTTGGTGCGGGAGTGCTCGGGCGCGGCCACGGTCGAGCCGTTGGTGGGGAAAGTGATGCTCAGGTCGGCGGTGGCCTGCCTGCTGGGTGCCTCTGATGAGCGTGGGGTGGCTGCTGCGAGCATGATGGAGTCGGCCACGGCTTTGGAGAGAGTGAGGTCCCTGACGATGGCGTGTGTGGGGGCGTGGGAGGAGGCGGGCGTGGGGAGGGAGGGGCGGTTCTCAGTGCCGCCGCACAGATAGTAGTGCCTGCACAGACAGAGACCGACAGACAGAGACACAGACACGGACAGAGAGAGAGAAATGGGGCATGGTGGTCTTTGTTTCTCTCTGGCTCATTCATTTGTTTGCTGTGCTGTGCTGTGGTGTGGTGTGCTGCATACCGTGATGCAAACGAGGCGATCTCAGCGAGCCGTGCACACTTGGCCGTCACCTTGGCCGTGTCTGACAGTATCCAGTACGTGGAAAGCCCCACGGTGAAAAATATCCCCAACTGAAGAACACATCAACACACACACACACACCGATGAGTCGACCGACAGACTCATCTCATCCATGTATGTGTGTGTGTGTGTCTCATGAGGGAGCTGACTGAACTGAACTCACCACAATGAAGAAAACATCCAGCCCGTTGGAGCTCGGCTCACGGAACAGTATCAGGAAGAGACAGCTGAGGAAGGACACGAAGTACAGGGCCCCCATGGCCGTGATGGGCGCCTGCAAGATCAGGCTGCTGCGGTTGAGCATGCCGTCGAGCGACCGGTGCATCTCGATCAGCTGCGGGACCGTCAGCGCCATGGCCATGGGCGGCCTGCTGCTGTACTCCTGCGCGCGGGCGTGCATCTGCATGTGCCTGTCCCGCTTCATCATGTGGTACATCAAAACGTTGAACGACGATCGGTGGATCACGCAGATAATCCCCGTCTGAGCCGCCACGGTCTGAACCGATCAGTCGTCAAAAGATGGACACAGAGGGGTGTGTGTGTGTGGGGGGGGGGGAGGCTCACCATGCCAATGAATGGCTCGAAGAGGGTGCCGCATATTTCGAGGAGGTAGCCGTTGAGCTCTAACAGCCACTGGGGCGCGTTGTGCATCCCGGGGAAGATGGCAAAGTACTTCTTGTGCCGGTCGGACAACACCAAGGCACGATCAATCACGCCCTAACACACACACACACACACACCACGTGGACACAGCTTATATGCGGCGGGCGGCATGCTCGTCTCGTCTGTGCAGATCAGATGTGTGTCGCGTGTGCTGTGCGCCTCTCTCACGATGTAGAAGAAGTAGCTCCAGAAGAGGAAGGTGAAGACGACCGTCCAGGCGAACTTGGCCCTCACATCCTTCTTGAGGCGGTGCAGCACATTCGCCTCGTTGCACTCGCTCCGCACAAAATCCAACGCGTGCAGGAAGGCGTCCCCACGGTATATCTGAACACACACACACACACACAATGGAATACACACACTCTCGGATGTGCTGTGCTGCTCATTTGCAAGCTGAGCTGCCTGATCAGATCCCCGACTGACTGCACTGCCTCACCCACCCACCCATTGCACGCGCAGCACGGTGTAGGCCACGGCGACGGCGAGGCTGATGGACCAGAACATGAAGAGCAGGAGCAGGTCGGTCCCCTCACACAGGTCCGAGTCGTAGTTCCGGTCGCACCACATGGGGTCGATTGCCGAGAAGAAGAAGACCACACCGTTGCATATCGCGCCGTGCCTGTCACACAAGACACGGCATGGCGTGACAGGCGTCAATCAATGGCCAATGGACACCCACCACACGTGCGACACGTCGGTCGTTGCTCACTCACCAAAGGATGAGGTGGATCATGATGGGCCATATCTGCCGGACGAGCCTGCTGTCGTGAGGGTAGAAGCTGAGCCCCGCAATACGCACCCACCACGTCTCAAGCGGGGTCCCGTGCACCATGAAGTCAACCACCTGCACACACACACACACACGCAACGAAGGACAACACACCTTGCTTGTTGTCCATCGATCCATCCATCCACATGGCCCCTCCCCTGTCCCCTCTCGTCCACGTACATCTTCGAGAGCCGGAGTGAGGTTCTCGAAGTGCTTGGGGTGCAGGAACATCATCATCAGCCACTGCACCCACCCGACCTCCACTCGCGACGACTCCACCGAGTGCAGGTCCGTCTGGGTGCTTATCATGCCCATCCCCAGGGCCGTCTTGTTCGACGGCAGCTTCACCACGCGGCGCGTGGGCAGCTGCTGGCTCCCATACGGCTCGGGCATCGGCTCACAGATCGACGTCGACACGCCGTTGTCCACCATCGTGGCGCCATTGTCGTTGTCACCATCATTCTGGGCATTGTCATCATGGCCATGCATCAGCAGCATGTCCCTGCGCAGGTCGTCGAGCTGGTGTGCAAACCGCTGCCAGGTGGCGTCGTCGATGGCGCCGCTCGTCCGCTGCAGCCGGGCATAGACCGACAGAGATGAGATCTGCGCGAAGGCCGACTGCCGCAGCGCCTCCTCGGCGTTGCACGCTGCTGTGGGGATGTTGCTCTCGCTCTCTGGAGGCTCTTCGTCTCTATCGATGCCGGTCATCACGCCGCTCCACTCCAAAATCTTTGGGGAACGTTGATTCGATCAAAACCCCACGTCAGTTCATCTCATCGCATCTACTCTGGCCTTAGCTGCCTCAGAACACGCCTCGGGGAAGGATCGCGCCGTTAGCGAGCTCGCAGACGCTCGACGCGCCAAGGGAAGGAGAGGGAAGGTGGAAAGACCTGCGCTGCGTGGGGAAGCTCACTGCAGAGCCCTCTGGACAGGAAGCGGCGCGAGCAAGGAGAGTTTCTTTGTGTAAGTGAGGCGTCGACTCAGCTCAGTGGGGTTTGTTTATAGTGTGCGAGGACCACCGGAGTCAGGCTGGCGGGTCGGCATCGCCACCAGCGGTTGGCGGCTCGTCCCACCGACGAAGAGGACCAGCCCGGACTGTTCAACACCCTCTGTCGACGGGTGTGCGCCTTGGACGCCATGTGGCCCTTTCTGTGCTGCGAGTCGTCGTGCTGCGCTGAGTTTATGCGGGATGAGGCCAGTACGCAAATCGTCACGGGCGTCGAAGACCCCAAGATACACGAGGGAGGCAGGGAACAGGTGGGTGGGTGCGGGCAGTGCACTGCAGTGCAGACAGTGCACTGCAGAAAGACAGACAGACCGAGGGACAGGGAGTGAGGGAGGGAGTGAGGGAGGGAGGGAGGGAGGGAGGGTGGCCATATCAGTGCAGAGAGGCCTGCCTGCCTGTGAGATTGCATGCAAATGATGAATGACCTGGTTGGTCATTCTATTCTCTCTTTCCTTCTCTGTGTCTGTGTGTGGCGTGGCCTCCCTCCCTCCGTCCGTCCGTCGATCAGATAGCAGTGGGTGCGGACACCAAGCTTTCTCAGTACAAGGACACCACCACAGCCAACAATGCCCTCAACAGCAACAACGTCAACGTCCCCAACACCGCCAATCTGCAGGACCTCAACTCGCAGCACCAGCCCCCGCCAGACACCCGCATCCCCCTCCTAGGCAGCCCTCCCCCGTCAGACAGGGGCGTCCCCACAGGCGCACCACCATACGCCATCAACACTGCCGCCCTCCCACAGACACAGATGCCCCAGGTTCACAAACCCGCCTCCACACACGGGCCGGAGCCGGGGGTGAGTGACGGAGGGGCGGCTGTGAGCGGCATCGGGGCGTCGGTGGGCGGGGGTGCGGCTGCTGCTCGGAGCGGTGGCATGGCTGGTGGTACGAATGGTGACGCCAAGGTGGTGGATAGGGCGAAGCTGACTGCGGAGGCCAAGCAGAGGGAGAAGGAAAAACTGCAGGAAATGGTCAAGGAATTCGCAAAGGTGAGTGATATGGCAACAATGAGAGACAGAGAGAGAGAGAGAGAGCGAGAGAGTGCAGTGCGTGATGGCCGAAATGTGTGGCTTGCGTTGCATTGCTACCGCACCGGTGTGTCGTTTCTTCAGAGTGTGATGGGCGGTATGTCTTGCGAGTATGTGGACAACCACACGCTGAAGCTCAAGCCCGCCACATACACCATCGACAGGGCACTCAGAGTGAGCACTCCACTCCACTCCCACCCATCACACGCCAATCCAATCTCAGTCAATCTCACACGCCTGCCTGCCTGTGTCTGCCTGCGTGTGTGTGGCTCATTCAGTTGTTCTCAGTTCAGACCAAGGACGCCCCAGCGGATGCCGACCCCCTCGTCGCTTTCGAAATCACTAAGGTCCGATCACTCACAGGGGGCACAAAAGACAGCAGCAAACCCACCCACCCCTCGTCAAACCCGCGTCGCGTCATGCATATCAATCAGATGGTTGAGATCCACCGCCATTACAAGAAGATGCCGCCGCTGATGTCGCTGCCCGACCCCACCACTGCCATGTCCTCCAACGACCTCGCCAGGCTCATCTGCATACAGGTCAGCCACTCACCCACTCAGCCGCTCAGCCGCTCAGCGATACGGACACACACAGATAGATCGCCAAAGGCAAGCCGAGCAGCACGTCTCTCTCTCTCTCTTTCTGCGTGTGGTGATTGTGTGCTGGTACCAGTACACCCATGACGACAGGCCGATGTACATGCTGCTGTGCCTCCGGGACCCCGCAGACCAGGAGCGGTTCTTCACCTGCATGAAAATACTCAGGTAGGGAGGGAGGGAGGGATGGATCACCAACATTACATGAGGCACCGTGGAGAGACAGACATAGCTGGCTGGTTGGTTTGCGTGTGTGTGTTTGTGTGTGTGCCAGGTGGGCGATGGAGGGCCGGCAGACCAACGAGCCAAAGCGCACTCCGAGCGACAGATAGAGAGATGGCCGGAGAGGAGAGAGAGGGAGATAGGCTCTCTCCATCCATCCATCCATTCCATCACCCTACCCCGCCCCTAGCCCGCCCGCCCTCCCTGTCTGCCTGTCTGCCTGCCTGGCTGCCTGGCTGCCACTAACTAGCTCACTGCTTGGCTGCTTGGATGTCTTTAGCCCATAGCTGTATGTGTGGGGATGGAAGGATGGCTGGCTGGCTGGCTGGCTGGATGCCGCACACACGACCACACCCACACACAAGGCCGTGTGCGTACGTGTGTATCGGTGTGGGAGTGTGTGCACGTCTGTTTTGTATGTATGGCCCAATTAAGGAGAGAAACAAGAGACTGGATGGATGGAATGGAACGAGTGGAGGGAGCCTGTCTGCCCAGCCTGCTTGCCTGCCTGTCTGGCGCCCTCTCTCTCTCTCTCTGTGTGTGTGTGTGTGTGTGTCTGACTATGTATGTTTTTGCGATCTAGATGCATAATGTGACTCTCTCACTGCGCGCGCGGGGACGTCTACCCTCAAGACAATCCAATCACCAACTTGCCTGCCCCTCTGTCTGTTTGCCTACCTGCCTGGCTTCATCCTTCTCTCAACGTGACGGACGTGCTTTAGGTCGATTTTTGTACAGAGGCATTCAACAACCAACCAGGCAGACGCAGCACACCAACTGGCACCGGCAGGAAGGCAGGGAGAGAGGCATCCGTCCGTCTGTGCGTGCGTGAAGTCTTTCCCATTTAGGTAGCGCGCGACAGCGACATACATACATACTTGCATATATCGGTGGGTATCTGTCTGTCTGTCTGTCTATGTGTGTGTGTGTGAATGTGTATTGATTGATCGATCGATCGTACGTATGTATGTCATGTATTGGTTGTGTATCATCCATCGCAGGTATGGTATGCACGCTATACTCTATATATACCGACTGGTCGACTCCTCAAGTGTATACCCATCGCAGCGAGCCACGCAGGCAGACAGGCAGAAGGGCAGGCGGATGGATGGATGGATGGATGGATTGGATGGATGTCAACGAGGGAAAGGCCGTCTGTCTGTCTGTCTGTTTGTCTTTCTATCGTATGTATGTATGTTTGTCTGTGTGTATGGTATGCATCGCTCGCCCGACGTCTACCGACGTCTACCCATAGTTCCTTCCTTCGTACAACCAACTAGCTACCCAACTAGCTACCCATCCTATCCACCTGCCTGCCTGTCTACCTGTGCCGAGAACACAGTCCACCATCACTGCCTACTACCTACCTACCTGCCTACTTGGCCGATAATGCATACCACTGGCTTCGTTTCCCCTGCAGGCAGTGTGTCCTGACGTGCCTCAACTTCATCGTGCGACGGCACCCCTCGGTTCCCGCCGATTGGGTAGCGAGGATGGCCGCAGCATTATGGATGTGACGTACTACAGACACACACCGCCGACTCATGGATGGATGGATGAATGAATGAATGGTAGTGCGGCGTGCACGTGTGGCGACTGGCAGGCAAGGCAAGGCAAGCAAGGCAACCAAGCGCAGCATAGCTTAGCATAGCAAGCCTCCCTTCTCGCTCTTTTTTGCATCAACTCACCCACTTGATGTCATGCTGGTGTTTTGCAACACACACACACACACACACATGCTGACTAACTGAACTAATGCACCCACCCATTGTTACACCCACCCTCTCTCCCTCCTTCCCCCC